AAAAGTTTGGGAACCACTGCACTTTGGTTCCCAAAGTTGGGCTTGGGACCCAATAAAGGGTCATGAAGCACCTTGGAYAATCTCCAGAAATCAATTTAAAAGTAATAAAATAATTGATGATGTAATATTTTCCACATAATTATCAAAAACACACAAAAAGTATAAATAAGTATTTATAATTGTGTATAAGCTGTTTAGATTGTCAAAAAGCCTGTGTTTTTTAGGGTTATTAATGAAGTTGGTGTACTCAGACCAGTAATATTTGGGGTCACAAGTTTTTGCCATGGATAGTTTGTGGGTCAGACGACAAAAAGTTTGGGAACCACTGTTCTATACCAGTGTTCCCAAACTTTTCAGCTTTTGACCCACAAAATAACAGTAGTAGAGACCTGTGCCCACAACTATTTTTGGATGATAAACATTTGTATCAGGTCAACAAAACATGGGCATAGTAAGAATATTTTTATACTACATTTATCCATTTTAAATATACTAACCTCATTCATTTGTAACAACTAAGGCAAAAATGTAATTAATTCAGAAAATCTTTGCAGGACCCCACCTTGATGTTTCAGGACCCCACTTTGGGTCCTGACCCCAACTTTGAGAAACACTGCTCTATACCTAATTCCCATCTGGGATCACTAAAGTATATTTTTTAATTGAATTGAATTTGAATAAAACATTGAAAATTATTTTTGTACAGAGAGATTTATTCAACTTTTAACATGGTTCAAAATTATTAGCAATGTTATATTTTACTTTGGGTTAGGTTAACTTGTTTGAACTGAGGCTTTTTGTTTCGGAGCCTCACACTCAGGGTTGGTGTGGAAATTCTAAGGTTAAAGGTTTGCTTATGTGTAAAAATTTCCACATTGTTGTTCAATTAAAAAGACTTCATAAAATACACATTTTGCTTTCTATGGAAGGCCTAATCAAATACTATTTAAACCAGTCATTTCAACCAACATTTCAAACATGCCGCATGAAAAACCAAATGAAATGAAAGGCTGTAGCGCCACCCCGTGGTCAAATATTAGCACTGCAACAAGATAATTAAACGAGATGAATTATCTCAAAAGTAATCACGAGAGTAAAATAAGATATAAAAAAATGCATAAACATTTTTAGAAATATTTAAAACTGCACAAGAAGGAAGAACTTAGTGTCAAATGCTGCGTTCAAGTCTGGTGGAAAGCTGGGACATTTGGGCTCTTTACTGGATTTTATTTCAGAAACAACATATTTCTCACTTGGCATAGTACATAGTAACCACTATATCAAACAAAAAATTAATTTCATATACTTATATACATGGGTAAGTTTTTCTTTTTCTGGAGGAACAACTGAAATGTCGAGAGCAGCAACGCCCAAATATTGCTAAGTAATAAAGTTATCCGTGTCCTGCTGCAGATGTCCCAGCTCTTCACCAGCCTTGAACCCGGCATTACGTTTGTAAATCTGGAGCACCACAGGGTGTCGCTATAACTTTTCATTTTAATTATTAATAGTTGGTTTATCACGTGACAACGCATTTTATTCAACACCGAGAACCCTCGTGCTCTCAAAGTTCTGTAAGATTAAAACATGCGTTGTGTGACTAGTTTCAATCTAGTTACAGATAAAAACAGCAGATTAATGAGAAAATGGTTAACTTTAGTGTGAAATGATGCTCCCTGCTGCCCCTCCCTTCTGCTCATTGTTGTGAGCAGGCTCGTCCGCCCGCGCCGCTCCAGGAATGTGTCCGCGAGCCGAGGACGTGGCCGACGCTGCGCGCGCAGACTCGCCGACGGCTGCGGCAGCTGGGTTCCCGTTTCTTCCACGTGGAACCTGTCATTTCCCCAAACAGGCGCGTGCGGCAGCAGTTGGCGCAGTGCAGCGCGGAGCAGCAGAGAGAGGTGTTCTCCTGACATGAACCTTTAACCTGAGCGAACCAGCGCTTCCTTTCTTTATTATACCTGTCCCACGGTACGGACAGGTTGGCCCATTATCCTTCCAGGAAAACCTTCGTTTATCTGCTGTGAGTTGACTTTTGTTCCCGTTTGTCCAAATGTTCATGCTACAGTTTAATTTAAAGCTTAGCTAGCGAGGCTACACTTTTTTACTGTAAAAACAGCGAGCTGTGTGTATGCTAGCATCAGCATCGCTGTTACCGTAATAAAAATAACAAAGCTAATAATAATTCATATTAAACCAAAGAAACTTTACCTACAAGTTAAATACKTGTCTAAACTATAAGAGACACTTTCACTGGCTCTGCTGTACGTGTAATTAATTAAGTGTTTTCAATGACTGGAGCAGGAACTGCAGTGTAATCTGCAGGAGGATGATGATGATGTGTGTGTGTACTTGCTTTTACGACAGAGTGAGGACCATTTGCGCCATAGTTACTATGAAAGTGAGGTCTTTGTAGATGTCCTCACTTTGTTTGCAGCTCTGCTGTGCTTTACTGGTTAGGTTTAGAGGTATGGTGTGAATTAAGTTTTGGTTCAGGTTAGGGTTAGATATAGACCAGTAATGGTTAATTGTAGGGAAAATGTCAAGTTTAGGCATAAACATGGTAACAAAAATGAATGGAAGTCAATACAATGTCCTCAGTTTGATGAGAGAGAGAGAGAGAGAGAGAGAGAGAGAGAGAGAGAGAGAGAGAGAGAGAGAGAGAGAGA